GCACATGAGACTAGTGCCTATTTTACTGGACAGCCCAGATGTAGAACATTGCCATCATGGCAGGAAGTTCTAGTAGACCATGCAGATAGATCCTCAGACCTTCAATCATCCTTTTAACATACTTGAACTTTTTTATAATATTACATATTTTGTCTTGTGTGTTTTAAAAGCCTTTCCAAGGAGAAGTGCATAGGCTTTACCAGATTGCCAAATATGATTTAGAGCCACAGTGAAAGATCTGAACTAGAGGCATGCACCTTGAGAAACCCTTGTGGTGAAGTAATGAGAGGCAACACTGTTGCACCAGGAGAGAAGGTACATGCGAAGGAGGCAGAATCTTAGGAAATGCTCAAGTGATGGGAGGAGAAGCTGATGAATGGCTGAATAAGGCAAAGCACCAAGAGAGTTCAGGATCCAGAAGCCAGAAGAGGAAAGAGTTGTCTGGTTAACTGGGCCAGATGCTACATGGAGATTAAGAGGGGGAATACTAAGCAGGAACTCCTGGTTTGAGCATCTAAGCAGTCATGGTAAATCAGGGGAGAAGTTTCTGTGGTTAATGGGAATAGTAGCCATTTTACATGGATGTAACTGAGTTCTTAGGAATGGTAGGAGTACTTGAAGACTGTTTTTGTCAGGAAGTTGCAGAGTGAAGGAAAAGATCAGAAGGTAGCTTGAAGATATAGAATGAAACATTTTTTAATGGCCCTGTGGTTATCTAGAGACAAAGGAGAAAGAGCTGATAGTTGGGGAAATGCCAAGAATGTTATATTAGCTGTGAGACAGAGGGCACGAGAATAGACTGTTATAGGCAATGATTCTCCACTTGCCCTTCATGTCTATGTCAAGGAACCCCCAATCTGGAGCCATCCCTGGAAGATAGATTAGGCTACAAGGCAGTGATTGTGTATCAGTATCAGCTCTGCAGGGAAAATCTTTCATTTGGGAATCTCCATTTCCAATAATTCTGTTCCAGGGCGTTTTCCTTCTTCAAAACTCAGCCTAAGGACTCCTCCATCGAAGCTTCCCTGAATTCCTAAAGACAGTTTGCGCCCTCTCTTTTCTGTGATATCATAATATCCTATAAATTCTTCTCTCTCACCTTGAACCAAGACACTTGAGGGGTTAGTGTTTTGTCCTGTTCTTATTGGTATCCTCAAATCTAGCTTGTAAAGGAACCTTGGCAAATATTTGTTGACTTAATAAACTAACGAACATTATGTCTATATATTTCTCCCTTTAGCCTTTCCAAAAGCCTTCTTGAAAAACCTGTTCCCTCTTTGCTGAGGGGAATTCCCTTTACCAGCTTGGAATTACTAAGGCCAAGAAGGGGAAAACTAATGACATTTACAACCAACAACCAAATGTAATGATTGACAAATCCCATGTCACTCAAACAAACTAAGCATGAATATTTAACACTAGCCATACTGAATTACCTATGGTCAATTAACAGAGGATCAAGGAATCCTACAGACAAGGGATCAATTTCCAATTCAGGCCCTCGCTAAATATAAGATCCAGAATGACCTTAAGTGCCAAATAGGCCTTCAATTTACTCATCTCTAAGATGAGAATGAAAATACCTACCTGTATATTGTGAAGAAGAAAAGAAAATAACAGATGTGAAAGACATAGCCAAGAGTAGAAACTCCATAAATTTTAGCTGAATATATCTGTCATCCTGAGTGTCTAATCCAGGAGATACTGTTTGTGAATAATGCTCCAATGAATAGATGGTGCATATATCTGTTTGAATTAGTGTTCTCATGTTCTTAGAATAAATACCCAGAAGTAGAAGAGCTAGACCATATGGGTTTCCTATGTTCAGTTTTTTGAGAAATCTCCATGCTGTTTTCCACAGTGGCTGCACCTGTTTGCATTCCCACCAGCATTGTATGAGGGTCCCCTTTTGTCCACAGCCTCTCCAATACTTGATAGTTTGTTTTCAATAACAGTCACTCTTGCTACAAATGAAGTACCTGAGCAACCAGCTAAAGGTCACTGGCAAACCTGAAACTCAGTCCCAGAACTTTGGCCACTCATTCATGCATGTATGCAGTTATTCAATAAATATTTACTGAGAATCTAATCCTAGGCCAGACTCTACAAATACAGTGACAAACCAATCAGGCAAAATTGTGACCCTCCAGGACCTGATAATTTAATTTATTGCTCTATCCTCTAACCATTCTCCTATCTTCCTTGACAAGTTGAACAGAAAATAATCTTGGGTATTCAGGTTTTCTTTTTCAGGATTAGGTCTCCATTTCTCCATTCTCTTCATGAGACAACACAGTAGCTGAAAGCACAAGAGTAAGTGATTTTGAGGAGGCTGTAAGAATATGAGGCTATGCTGCCCCCCTTAAATCCTGCTCATGGGAAGGCCAGGGTCAGTCAATCACCAGCTGTCAGGAGACCAACTGAGTGCTGCAAGCCTCTGTGACTAAAGCAGTCCTTCCTGAATGTCTGCAATGAAACCATGAGATGCTTCAAAGTCAAAGCACCACTAACTCATTGGGATGTATTTCAAATAAACTTTGTTGAAATGATAAGGCACCTGGGCCTTGATAACAACGGTCTTTTAAATGACGTTTACAAAAAAAACAAATAAACAAAATGAAGTGAAGCCCAGGGAGCTGAGAGAATAACTAACAGGGCCAGGCACCCATCTTCTTTTTTTTTTTTTTTTAAAGATTTTATTTTTTCCTTTTTCTCCCCAAAGCCCCCCGGTACATAGTTGTGTATTCTTCGTTGTGGGTTCCTCTAGTTGTGGCATGTGGGACGCTGCCTCAGCGTGGTCTGACGAGCAGTGCCATGTCCGCGCCCAGGATTCGAACCGACGAAACACTGAGCCGCCTGCAGCGGAGCGCGCGAACTTAACCACTCGGCCACGGGGCCAGCCCCAGGCACCCATCTTCTTGAGCAAAAATGGAAACATATAAAATAATAATAACAGCAGCTACCACATCTACTGAGTACCTCTGGGTATTTGGGCCTAGCCTAGATTCTCGCCATATATAACATTATTTAATCATCTCTACAAACTTATGAGTATAGTTTTTATTCATCTTTTGTTATATAATAAGAAAGCTGAGGTGCAAGGATAATGAGAATCCAATGCAAGAATACCCAGCTTGGATATTTCTGGCTCCAAAGTTTATGTTGTTTCCAGCATTGTAAACAGCCTCCCTGCCTCCAAAATAACAAAAGTAAGGATGTTTTAAAGGAATGGGTAGCTATCATTATTGTCTACTTGGTGTCCAGGCAGGCACAGACAGAAAAATAGTAATTACCCAGCCCCTGCTACGCACCAAGTGCTGCCAATGGTAACGCCAGTGGAGGCATGTGTAGGTCTTCAGCTATCTCCCTCAACACATGCACACACCAGTGAATCAGCATTGTGTGATATGACAAAATGACATTATCTCATGATTACATAAGGTGCCAGCCAACTCCTATGGGTAAACATTTTACATGCCCACAACAAAATTCAAACCAGATTGTTGTTCTCAAACTTCACTTACACTGAAATTCTGGTTCTATCCTGAATTTATGCATTTAAACCACCAAATGTACCAAATGTATATATCTTGGATTTGTGAGACTCCCATACAAAAATCCTGGAAACTACTGAGGGTTTTTGTGTAAATACCAACCACTTATGTTAATTTACTGTAATCCTGAAAATTGTGCTTGATCTTTCATTTTATAGATGGGAAAACTAAAGCCCAAAGAAAAAAGGCAATTTGCATGATGTTCTACAGTTAATAAGCAGTTAGAACTGAAATAGGAACCCAGACAGATCTAGATCCAAAATCCATGCTTTTCCTTTCTTTCTTTGGTACTGTACTTTATTTTTCCAAAAAGAAAACTTGATTTTCTCAAATTATAAAAATAATATATGTTTACTTGTAGAAAATTTGGGACATATCATAAAGAATAATGAAGAAAAAACTTCAATAATACTATAATCCAAAGAGAATTAATGCTGACACTTTGGTGTTTTCCCTTCCAATCATACACTTTACATAGAAGATTACCAGCAGATTTTTTTCACATGTTATATTGCAAACATGATTCCATGCCATTATAAATTTTATAAAGCTTTATTTTTGATATCTATATAATAATCTATCTATCAATCTATCTATCTAAAATAAATCAGCCTTCTTCCTTATTGTTAGACATGTAGGTAGTTTCTGATTTTTAGCAATCATACATAGCACTGGAATAAAACCCTTAGTACATAAATCTTGGCCTGAGTTACTTGCTGAAACCCTTGGCACTGATTCCCAAATACTAGAATGGACTTTTTCTATTATTTCATGCTGCTTCTTTCCTTAAAATTAAGACCTTTCCCTCCATCCCTACCCCATCCCCAACCACCATGGAATGTCTCCTTCTGTCTCCTTTGTAAATGACTCAGTCAAGTTCTAGACATAGGGAAATCTCTAGAGCTTAGGTTTCCTGAACAGAGTTTAAAGAGTTGGGATTTGGAATCAGAAAATGTGAATTCATGCACCAGTGTTCTTCTCATTGACCGAGTAACTCTGACAGTTACCTTAGATCTTAGGCCTTAGTTTTCTCACCTGGAATATGGCGCACTAGTAGCACTTTCCTGAAAAGATCAATGTGAGAATTAAATCAGATAAAGCATGCCACAGGGGCTGAGTAAATCATCATGTGTTCTAGAAAATGTCAGTTGCTATTAACTTTAGGCATACTGACAATTTAGTGGGCTTTGAAAGGGAAACAAAATAGATAAAGTAGTGTATTGTTGATGTTGTCTTTTGGTAAACCCACACATGTTGAATTAACAAATCTGAATGTCTTCATTCACTGGCAGGTCAGAGAGTGGTGAGTCCAACCCAGCATGAAACAGAGCAGGGGAGTCATGTGACACTCCACAACATTCAGTCCAACTGCCATTGGCCCCAACTCTATCCTAAGAGATATTTAATGATGCAGGAGCATGTTAGTAAGAGAGGAGCACCAAGGGAGAGAAGTGAAGAGAGACAAGTCCTACCTCCCAGGAGGGAAGATGGTTCAGACTCCATCAGGGAAGAATAGACTCAGGAGAGACAGAAAGTTACAGGCTAGGAAGTTGTTCACTCTTGGGTGCATCAGGAGACAACTAAGCTAAAACATTTTCTGAGTAGGTATCATACTTCAATTGAATGAAAGGAGAGAAAAAGGTCATTTTAATGATACAATCAGAGGTTAGGAGTAGAAGTTTTGAGAGTCAACCCAGAAATCCCAAGGGTTCAATGATGATGAAGTTTGAAGAAAAACATGAGGGCAGTGGGAGTCTTGTAGGAAAGAGACAGCCCTATCTAGGTGAGAAGCATCAGGGGAACTTGAAACCAGAGGCAAATGAGAAAGCCAAGGCTTCTATGAAGCAAGAGGCAAATGGGGACTGTTGTGAGAAGCTCAGAAAAATCCTCAACAGGTACAGCTGGCAGGAGATACAGAAACACAATCAGAAGGCTGAACAGTGGATAGTGATCTGTCGCAAGGTCTACGATGTTACTGGCTGGGCCAACAGGCATCCAGGTGGCCACCGCGTCCTCAATTACTGTGCTGGGGAAGATGCTACGGTAAGGAAATCAAATCTCTGCCCTGTCTCTGGACTGGGTTTTGGATGAACTCAGACGTTGATGGCTACTATGTTTGTGTATTCTGGGTTTTGTTTTGTTGTTGATGTTTCATTTTGTTTTCCAGTAGAGTCACTGTTTTGTTAGAAGAAATTTACAAATAGGTGAATAATATCCAGACAAATATGTCTCTCCACAAGTAGAAATTTCTCAGACCCATTTCATTGGAAATTCTAAAACAAAGACAGCAGTTTGTCTGTTAGGCATCAAATGTCATTAATAACAATGAGGAAAACCTACAATGACATAGGCTTTTAGAATTTGCAGAGCTTTCTTGTGTCCTGTAGGTCATTCAGTGTAATACACGCAATACACCCCACTTTTACAGAAGAAAGGAAAATCAGAGACATTAAAAAACTGGCCCATTTGTTTATTTTTTCTTTTGTTTAACTTGCCTGGTCAGACATGGTACTTGAAAATACGCTAAGACCGATGTCAAAGAGCAAACTGCCTGTGTTTTCTTCTAGAAGTTTCATGGTTTTGGGTCTTACATGCAAGTCTTTTATCCATTTTGAGTTGATTTTTGTTCATGGTGTAAGGGAATGGTCTACTTTCATTCTTTTGCACGTGGCTGTCCAGTTTTTCCAACACCACTTATTGAAGAGATTCTTCTTTCTCCATCATATGCTCTTGGCTCCCTTATTGAATATTAGCTGTCCATAAATGTGTGGGTTTATTTCTGGGCTCTAGATTTTGTTCCATTGATCTGTGTCTGTTTTTGTGCCAGTACCATGCTGTTTTGGTTACTATGGCTTTGAAGTATAATTTGAAATCAGGGAGTGGGATATCTCCAGCTTTGTTGTTTTTTCTCAGGAATCCTTTGGCTATTCGGGATGTTTTGTTGTTCCATATAAATTTTAGGAATATTTGTTCTATTTCTGTGAAAAACATTGAAACGTTGATAGGGATTGCATTGAATCTGTGTATTGCTTTAGGAAGTATGGACATTTTAACGATGTTAATTCTTCAAATCCAAGAGCATGGAGTATCTTTCCATTCCTTTGCGTCTTCTTCAATTTCTTTCAACAATGTTTTATAGTTTTTGGTGTACAGATCTTTCACCTCTTTGGCTAAGTTTATTCCTTGGTATTTTATTCTTTTTGTTGCAATTATAAATGGGATTGCATATTTAATTTCTCATTCTTCTACTTTGTTGTTAATGTATAGAAATATACCCTAATTTTGTAACTTGATTTTGTATCCCGTGACTTGACTGTATTCCTTTATCCTTCCTAAAAATTTCTTAGTGGATTCTTTAGGGTTTTCTAGGTAGAAAATCATGTCATCTGCAAAGAGTGACTGTTTCACTTCTTCTTTTCCAATCTGGATCCCTTTTATTTCTTTTTCTTCCCTGATTGCTCTGGCTAGGACTTCCAATACTATGTTAAAAAGAGTGGTGACAGTCAGCATCCTTGTCTGGTTCCTGTTCTTAAAGGGATAGCTTTCAGTTTTTCTCCATGGAGAATGATATTTGCTGTGAGTTTGTCATATATGGCACAGCAAAGGAAACAATCAACAAAGCAAAAAGACAACCTAATAATTGGGAGAAGATATTTGCAAACCATATATCAGATAAGGGGTTAATATCCAAAATATAAAAAGAACTTATACAGCTCAGCAACAAAAAACCCAACAACCCAATTAAAAAATGGGCAAAAGATCAGAACAGAGATTTCTCCAAAGAAGATATACAGATGGCAAACAGGTATATGAAAAGATGATCAACATCATTAGCTATCAGGGAAATGCAAATCAAAACTACAATGAGGTATCAACTCACTCCAGTCAGAATGGATAGAATTAACAAGACAGGAAATGACAAGTGTTGGAAAGAATGTGGAGAGAAGGGACACTTGTACACTACTGGTGGGAGTGCAAGCTGGTGCAGCCACTATGGTAAGCAGGATGAAGTGTCCTCAGAAAACTAAGAATAGATCTACCATATGAGCAAGGTATCCCAATGCTGGGTATTTATCCAAATAACTTAAAACACAAAGGCATATAGTTACATGCACCCCTATGTTCACTGCAGCACTATACACAATAGCCAAGTCTTGGAAGCAACATAGGTGCCCATCACGGGACAAACGGATAAAGAAGATGTGCTATACATAAATGATGGAATATTATTCAGCCATAATAAATGATGAAATCTGGCCATTTGTGACAACATGGATGGTCCTTGAGGGTATTATGCTGAGTGAAATAAGTCAGAGGGAGAAAGGCAATTACCATATGATCTCACTCATATGTAGAAGTTAAAACAACAACAAACAAACACATAGCAACAGAGAATGGATTGGTGGTTACCATGGGGGTAAGGGGGAGGGCAAACGGGGTGACTAGGTTCACATGTGAGTGGTTGGACTATAGTTAGTTTTTGTGTGGTGAACATGTGTAATCTACACAGAATTCAAAATATATTATGATGTACATCCAAAAGCTATATAATGTTATAATCCAATAATACTGCAATTAAAAAATAAATAAAATAAATTTAAAATATAAAATGATAAAACTGCAGTATCTGTGAAACACAATAAAGTAAAGTGCAGTAAAAAAGAAAAAGAAGAAAGTCTGGCCCAAGGTCACCTAGCAGCTGAGCTCAGAATCAAAACCTTTATTTTTCTTAAACTCTAGTTTTTCCACTTTTCTTCACTGCTTATCCTCATCACTCTCCCACATCAAAATGGCTAACTTAAAAAAATATTGTAACATTTATTGGATGCCTAGGATAACCTGGATACACTGAAATGCATCACCTCACTTACACATCACCAGGAGGAAGGTAGATATTATCACCATATGACAGATGAGAAAATTAACGTTCAAAGAGGCATGTAATATATCACAAAGCCAGCAAGTAATAGTGCAGAGGGATCTTGTCAAGATGGTGGCATAAGCAAACTCTGAACTCATCTCCACCCATGAACACAGCCAGGTTACAAATATTTTTGGAAAAATTACCCTGGATAGAAAACTGAAAACTGGATAAAAAGAAACTCCACAATAAAGGGACAGTCCTGACTAAGGCGGAAGGGGCAGAAATTCATTCTGGAAAGAAAAAAGTCACCTTTGCGAGCAGTGGAGTTCTCAGCCAGCCAGGTGGGAGCCACTCTAAGAATGAAGCCTTCCCTGGAGGAGTGAGGTCTGGAGCAGGGGCCAATACTGCTATAAGAATCATTCAGACTCAGCACAACTGAGAGGAAGGTCTTACTATCTGGCTCCGCTGGCTGTTAACTGCATCAGGGAATACCCTCAGAAAAGCTATTGGATGAAAGCTGAAAAGACCCAGGTCTTAAAGGGCCCACGCACAAACTCACCCATCTCAGCAACCTAAAATCACCATAGAGAAGGCTGACAGTCATTTGGTGAAAAGAGGCTCTCCTGGTGGGCTCTGGAGGCATCTCAATGACAGGAGGGATTTCTCCAGAGACAGAGATATTTCTGGGGGCCATTGTTCTGACCTGGTCCAGGTGTGCTGACACACCCTGGCACATGCCATTGAAGTTCTTCTCACGGCCTGTTAGCCCAGGAGGCTGCCACATCCACTAGTGCTCAGATTTAATCCAGCTCAACCAGGGCACGCATACAACCCAAGGGACCCACCCCGCCCAACAGCAAGCCCTCAGGCTACCTGTCAGCATCCACTGACTGGGTACCTTGCTCCTCTACAGGCAGGTGAATATGTCGCCTTCTGTGGGGCAGGATCTGCATGAGGACCAGGTGAACTGTGGAGCAAACTGTTGGAGAGGTAGGGACATCTGAAGTGTGGCATCAAGTTATACTCCAGGTGGTTGGGAAGTGCGCATGGACAAGGACTGTGTTGACGGTGTGTGTGATCCTGTGAGGGGTGAGGTTTATCAGTGGCAGAAGACCTGTGCTTCACTAATAGCCAGAAAAAGGATCAGCCCCACCTTCCAAAGCCTGAAACAATTGAGTGTTCCCATGTCTAGGGCCAGCCTCACTCATCTGCCCTCCTAAGAGAACTGACAACAGCCTTCTAAACCTGAGGCATATAGTAACTTTAAGCCCAGGAGCCTAGCAAACAGCTACACTTGCTACCAACCCAATTAACAGGAGAACTGTAACAGGAGTTTGCTGGTAGACATCTAGCCAGTGGTGCTAACATCTGTGCAGGGAAGGAAAGATTAGACTCCCTGGGTACCTTCATTAAGAGCAACCCTGCCACAGCAGAGGGACACAAGTAGCCCACCAAGGGCTCCCTCCTGGATCTTTTGGACTGGTAATGAGAGGAAAGCACACTGCTGGGACTCAAAAGGAATCTCTTACATAAGGCCACTTCACCAAGAACAGGAGACATAGCTGACTCAACTAATACATAGAAATAAGCACAGAGAAAGAGGCATAATGAGGAGACCAAGGAATACATTCTGAGCAAGAGAACAGGACAAAACCGCAGAAAAAGGACTAAATGAAACAGAAATAAACGACCTTTCTGACAAAGAGTTCAAATAAAATCTCACAAGGATGCTCACAGATATTAGGAGAAGACTGGATGATCACAGTGTGCTCATCAAAAAAGAAATGAAAAAAATAAAAAAGAACCAATCAGAAATGAAGAATACAATACTGGAAATGAAAAAATTCACTAAAGGGACTCAATAGCAGAGTAGAGGATGCAGAAGGATGGATCAGCGAGCTAGACAAAAGACTAGAGGAAATCAGCCAAGCAGAACAGCAAAAAGAAAAAAAGAAGTAGATAGAATGAGAACTGTCTAAGGGAACTCTGGGACAATATCCAGCACACTAACATTCATATTATAGGTGTCCAGAAGGAGAATAGAGAGACAAAGGGGCAGAAAAATTATTTGAAAAAATAATAGATGAAAATTTTCCTAATCTAAGGAAGGAAACAGATATTCAAGTACAGAAAGCACAGAGAGCTCGAAACAAGAAAAGCCCAAAGAGGCCCACATCAA